TAGTCCTGACAATTCTCACTAAATTCTAACACGTCTGTTCTTTGTGTTTTCGAAGTTAACTGGAGAAATCTACTAGTGTTCTAAAGGATATTATCTGTCTAGCTGTCTGTGGTTTAAATGATCCCTTGCGTTGCAAATCTAGCAGGATGAATTTATCTAATCACATACTGAACTGAACGTTGTACAGCTATTTAAATTAGTATTGTAGATTTCTGATTTGTAATACCTTGGTCTGTTCCGCTCTTGGCCCTCTACTTTATTTTTGTAGTACAATAACACTTAAATTTTTTTTATTATTGTTATTACTACTGTAGAACGGGGGACCTGCAAATTCATGGTGGCAGTCTTTCCTCTCTTTTTTTGGTTACGGGTAGTTTATGGGGCAGGATGAGCAGAATTCAGTGTTATCCTCTTCAAGGTTTCATTAAAACATGTAAAGTATGCATGGCTGAATAAGTTTTCTTGATTCTGTGGAACCACTGAAGGGAAAGAATAACCACTAAAGGTGTAGCCTCCATCAGATCAGTAGCCCCTGAGGCAGTACTAGAATATACCTTATTCAGAAGCTTTAACATAGCAGTGATTATGAGCCTACTACCGCAGGAGCCTTTCCCAAGCGTGACTGTGTCTCTCCATGAAGTTCAAATGGCGAGGAATGCTGTGCTAACCATAATTAATTTTGTAATTTTTATACATCAGTTGTCAAATGTAAAATGTGTTTAGATTAGTAAATGTGTTGTTAGAAGATCAGTCTTTTTTCTAGCTCTTTGTAAATCTTTGAAGGTAGCAAAGCAGATTAGAGGATAAAGGCTTTCTAGCTTGAATAGCATTTCCCAAAGCTTTTGTAGGAATTAAACAGCAAAATTCATCGTTTTGGGGAATTAGTGATTTATGAATTGGTCATAATAGTTGGAGATGTTAACAGTAACATAAATGTTACTGTGCAGCATTGACAGCCTAAAGGATTTTAAAATGGTAAGGTACTCTACTTCTTTTGATACTGGAACATTGAAAGTTTGTGCTGTCTACCTTTACTCTGAAGCTGCTGAAATGAGAAGTTCACTGAAGAAGTAGGAGGTGACAACCTGATTCCTTTAAGCCTCAATTGCAGGAGAACGCTAATTTGGGCTTGATATCATAAGTTGGCGGTGCTGATACTGTTCCAGTAGCTTATACAGTGCAGTATGGTTTGAGCAGTTGTCTCTGTGATGTTCACAGGTATGAGTACCTTGCTTATCCTTGTTCTAAACATGTCTCTACCATGCAAGGAACATCTGTATTTCTAGAGAAAATCAGTTCTTCCTTCTGCTTGATCTGAGCTCTTAAGCTGTTCTTCTAAAATTCAAGTCCATCCAGAACAGGATAGCATGGGTACTAAGAGGTATAGCTTGGAAGCCTGAATCATACAAGCACGTGTTATAGAGAGAGGCAAGGGAAATGCAGTATATTCACAGAAGCATGTAAATTCCTGGAAGGGTGTCAGGATGGTAGGTGGTGCAGACAGGACAGGATGATAGCAGGGAGGAGGCAGTGTGTGAATTCCTTTCTGCTATTAGTGACATTCTTGATGCCGAACTTCTGTCCTGTGCTAACACGTTCACTGACAGCTAGCGAGCGCATGTTAACACTGTGATAGATTGGGTGTAATCATTGCTGTTTCAGTTCAGACAGTTGTGGAGCAGGAGGGAAACTACTTTGGAGGTAGGTGAAGAGAGTACTAGTGATCTTCCAGCTGCTGCTTTGAGACTGCTGAAAGCGAAGGCAAAGACAGAGCCGCTCAGGAGCGGGAACTGTCTAGTGAGGAGTTTGCTAAATACTGGCTCTGATAGCAGTAGGTATGGATGGTGAGGAGGAATGATTCAGTTTGGGTAAGTCAGCGTGGCCTGAGCTGATGCTTGTTTGTGTGGCCCCCTTGGAAAGCTTAGAGAACAGGGATACAAGTCAGTTGATGTCTGAACAGATTCCTGAGGGCTTTGAGCAATGAAATACTCTTTTGATGTTTGATTCTTCCTTTGTTCTGGGAACAGGACTTTTATATAAACAAGAAATACCAGACCTTGATACTTATTTTTTCTTCTAGTTGGAATAGCCCGCAAGATGCGTGACTCTTTGCTAGCTTCTGAGTCATATTGATGTTAGGTTTGAATCTGTGTTTCTAGAATGCTCATTTTTTTTCAAATGATGGAGTTTATTTCTAGTTTTAGGTCATGCTTGCTGCTTTTTCCATCCTTCTGGAGATGGGATGTAGAAAGCAGAAACATACAACTGGAGGGTTGGGACAGTCTGTCTGTGTAGCCTTTTGTAAAGGCCTTAGTGCTGTTTTGCACGGGCTTACACCCACCATTGTATTTGCTATAATGGTACCAGCTGGGATGGTAACTTGAAATAGCTCTTCACAAAGTGGCTGGGCTCATGTTGCCACTCAGTAATGATTTCCTCATCATGTCCTTGGTCCAAGTATGGTGTCTGCAAGCCCTAATTACCTTTTTGAACATTATTCTTAATGTTTGTGGTATTCTTCTCATCTGACTTTCATCCTGTCTTTTTCTTATCTTGGAAAATTGTGTTCTTTCCCTTGTCTTTCTAGTTTTCTGTATCGCTAGCTCTTCTGGTATTCTTTGATCTTACGCGTTTTGATAAGTCTGCTAACTGTTGCCAGTGAAGTTCATCGTTCTGTTTTATGTTGTCAAGCTCTCAGGTGTGCGCAGCAGTACTGTAGAACATTGAGCGAGGTAACAGTGAGCTACAACTCAAAATTCTCTCTTTCTCAGCACTGTATTTCTAACCATCTGCCATCTTCTGAAGGTAACGGTGATAATGGTTAGAGATTTCTGCCTAGGCCCTTTCTGGAAAAATTGCTAATCATAATGTAAAGTAAGGTATAAGTTCTTACTGTTCCAAATGTGTTATGCTTACTGCAGTGCTGCCTTCCAGTTTCTGTTCCCAAGCTATGGTAAGTGGCCATAGGGTCATCTAGTCAGACGCCAGAGCTTTTCAATTCTGTGTGCTTGTGGTCTGCGAGAAAGTTTTGGGATTGGTAAGAGATCTGATGTTGCTGCTGTCTTGTTTAACTGCATTCCGTGCTTTGCTTCCTGTGACGTATTCTTAGCACTGGGAAGATCCAATGTTAATTTCTACCCAGTTTCTGCATTTTCATCTAAATCACAGATGAAAATTAGGCATTTGCTTCTTTCTCAGTTATAGGTCTCCTACTTTCAATGACTTAATAACCTGGAGGGAGAGAGAGTTTGTTTGTTTGTTTTGGGTTTTTTTAAGAGTAACAAGGTTTGGAGTACTATGCAGCACTTGAATTTCCTGCAGTTCTGGAATATCCACAGGCATAGTTGTAGCTTGGTCAACTATTTTAGTAATTCCTGAAGTATGGAGGGCATGACTGCAAAGCTTAATGCACTGCTGCTCACCATTAGTAACCATGGTCACCATCATATTTGAATTTGCATTTGGAATATTCTTGAAGCACCCACAGAGTTGCTGTTGTTTAGCTGATGAGCAGTAACTCATTAAACTGTGATAACAGGCATGTGCAATGGCTAACGAAGTCCGTGATAACAGGCATGTGCAATGGCTAACGTAATCTGCATAGCCTTGAAGTCCGCCCAGGTTGTGGGGATAGGGGAGAAGACAGCACAATCAGGAGCTTAAAAACAAAGGGAAATGCATACATAGGGTTACTGCAGTAGCAGTCTCACTAGTGTGTCTGGTTGGTATGGTATGGTATAGTTTGACAGACCACCAGCTATCTAACAATATTAGGTGGTGGGTTTTTTGTAAGTATGGTCAAGAGAAGAGTTTGTTGTTCTTATCCCTCTAAAATCTATTTATGGATCTATTTATGAGGTGCTGCTCCCAAAATGGAGGGGTAATGTGACAGGAAGCATGAAAACTGAACAAGCTGACAAGGAGTGTGGGCACCAAGTAGCAGTGGGAGATAGTCTTCTGGTAGAGACTGACAAGTAAAACTGCAGAAAATCAAAGAGGAGGCAAGAGGAGGCTTCTCTCACGGATTTGTTAAAGAGGCATCTGGAGAAGCAGGAGGAGAACGTGGGGATGCGGAGTCATGGAAGGCGGGAGGGCAACGCAGCGTGGCTGGCTGTGTCCTGTGTGGCCTGGGGAGTTGCTGCCTGGGGAGTGAAGCTGGGCAAGTGCTACAAGTGCTGAGCTGTGGGATCTTTAATCTGATCATCTTTAAGATCCAATTCTGTGGAGTATAAAGTGCAGGAGTAAACTTGGAGAGGGCTGAGGATGGAGCTGGAGAACCCCAAAACTGCTGGGGCATGGCGGGGAAGAAGAGCAGTAACTAGAGAGGGGAGGTGGCTCATAGGGAGGGGGGTATTTTTGATGGTTCTTTTGCTTCGTTGTTTTTTCTAAGACACTAAGCATGCTTGCCTTGCGGAGGGAAGGGGAGATAGAGAAAGTGGGAGATTAAGAAGAATGAGAGCTGAGCATGAGAGAGAGCTGAAATGTCAAGGAGATGAGGATCTAGGAAGTAAAATCCCACTTATCCTATGTTTCTGTCTTCTAGGTGTTAATTGTTTTCAAGCACAACTGGAATGAATTTCCTTGTGTGCATGGGTATATTTGAATTTGAGAAACTGAAAGGAAAGAAGTGAAAGACTTCTCCAAGAACAACTCATTTTTCAAAAATCCGCGTTAAGTGAGACTATTTTGAGTGGTCTAAAGCACAGAGTTTTCATTTGGCTTTAATAGGTTTAATCTGGCACACTTTCCGCGTAGGAAGCAGTTGTGTGTATTGATTTCCCCAAGTTCTATGCAGAAGAAACTGCTTAAGAAACCAATTGATAATCTCATTAAGATGTGAGAGTATGTAGGAAAATGTAAATAGCCGGTTAGTGTGTTGTCTGCCTAAGAACGAAGTCTTTGATCAAATAGGCTACGTAGTCAAATGCCTGATTTTAATCACTTAAGCAAAACATCAGTGGTGTTACATAGGTGCTTAATTAGGCATCTGTTTAAGAATCTTACCTACCTGAGGTGGGTTTTAGAGTGAAGTTGCGTGAATGTTCTAATACTCCTCTGCCACATCAGTTTTGATCACTGGTAAGATTTCAGTCCTGTTTTCATTAAAGCCATAAACTTTTGTAGTTGTTAATGGAGATCGTGTATTTCCTCTTCTGGAAGTCTAGCCACTGTTTAATTAAAAGCACTCCTTAGGGTTGTTATTTATATACTGTGTTAAGAGTATCTAGTTTTGTATTAATGCATTTTGGTGGCAGTTCAGTCTTTCAGAACTACTCACGTGTCAACTTTTTTTTCATTACGTGTTTGAGCAGGGGGGTTGGACTAGATGATCTACAGAGGTCACTTCCAGCCTTGGCCATTCTGTGTCATTCTGTGTGTGTATGTTTATATATGTATTGAATATATTTAAACCTAGAAATGAATATATTTAAACCTAGAAATGAACTTTTATTGCTTAGATTGTATTTTTATTTCAAAAAAATTTATTTAAATTGTACAAGATTTTTTAAAAATAAAATGTGTGTGTATATGTGTATATATTTTTTTTAATGTGGAAGACTCCCCCCCCCTCCCCAACCACACAGTTCAGTGTTTAGTTCCACAGGAGACTGTCTGAACCCAATCATATATACCTTTCAAAAATAATTGTTGCTGATTTCCACTGAAATGGCATTTTATGCCAGGATTGGAGAGTCAGATCCTTTATTTAGCAAAAGATTTCATAATTCTGTGTTTTACAAGTGAATTAACATAAATTATGGTGGTTAATTAGTTGAGTGAACAGAAAGGATTGATTATTTTTGTTTGTTTATTTGCATTCAAATCAACAGCTTTGAGTAGTATCTCTGATAGAAAGCCAAAGCTGTGTAAGCTGCTTCAAGCAGATTACAAACAATGTGGCTGTCGTATTAATGCAGAGCTCTTGGAAGATGTTGACAATGATTTCTAGACCACTGTGCTGGATTCTCTTTGGAATTTTCTGTTTGGGATTTTATACTGTGTGTGTAGATGTTGTTTGGTGTTTTATGCTCCTGTTTTAATTTGCACAGATTTCAGGCTGGGGGAACCCTAAAGATAAAAAAGGGATGAAAATGGCTTCTTTTCCATTAAAACAAACATTTGAGCAGAGAGGGTTTGAGTGGTCTGTTCAGGTGGCAAGTATTGTTCTGCTGATAGTTTTTTTTTTTTTTTTTTCCCAAGCCTGTGCAGTTATCAAGAAAGCCTAATATTTACTATATTATACCTGATACGTAATACCTAATTTATACTATATTTTATACTATTAAAAAGAAAACCCCTTCCCTTTCCTAAAATGTCTTTATTTTCCATCAGTCTGCATTACAAATTAAATTGAATAGAGCTTAGAGACAGGGATACTTGTGAAATGGAAAAGCTTTGTTACAATTGTGGTCTAAACTGGTAGTTAGGGAACAGGTTTTCCCTATGTATTTCAAACCACAAAACTCATAATAGATCAGGTAGGTACTCACTATACATATTTAAATTATTAATTATCTTAACATAAATTAATATTTACTTATTTTTATATTAGAAAAGGATGAACAACTTTTACATACGTAAAGTTTGTTTTAGACTGTGTTTGAATAGAAATCATAAAGAAGTTCAAATACACCGTATGTTAAAAAACAAACAAAACAATCCCCCTCATTTAAAGTCCTTGATGTTGAATAAGGAAGCAACAAAAGTGATGAAAACATGTTTTGTGTATATGACAGCTGGTTAGTCTAAACAAAGAAACATTTATGTAAATAAGTTAGCTGAGCTTGTGCTTCTAGTCAATAGAATTTCACAATTTTAGAAGTAGCAGATGTCATCGTTGCAACTCATTTTTAAGTCAAAACTAGAAGAGAAAATATACTACTTCCCCCCCCCCAACTTTTATGTTTTTTCTGCTTTCCCTGAACGCTAGTGATTGGACTTAGCGAGTTGGGAAACTTGCCTAGCAAAGCAAAGCTGATGTTCCCCCTGCTCTGCTAGAGAAGAGGATGGCTGGTTGAGCGGGTCGTCAGGTGTGGTTCTGGAGCGCGGCTGAGGGCCTCCCCGGCCCCCTCAGCAGCCAGCCTGTATGGGGAGGTTCAGTTTGTCATTTCAAAGACTCTTCTCACAATGCTGCCCAACTCTAGCTTGTATGTAACCTAGGAGGTCGTGGCAAGGTGTCTGTGGCACGGTCTCACTTATAGCGTTGTGTTTTGCGTGTGGTGTTTTAGTAGATCCTTGTTCAAGGAACCTGCTGGTCCCTGAGAAGGGCATGGCAGTCTGCGAGGAGTCCTGTGCTTCCGTTCTTCAGGAGCTGTTTAAATAGATCAGACTTATCAGACTTCAGGCTGGGCACTACTGCAGTATACTTTTTGTCCGAGTGGCCAGTACTTATCCTAGGACTAGACCGGCTGCGCACGTGTGGGCTGAGGCTGGATTAAATATGCTAGTTTATCAGCAAAGGTCTGCAGGTCATAATTTGGGCACCCTAGTGTATGTTCTCATAACTTCAAATTGTAATTAAAGAGAAACTATTTAAGTTTATTTTAAACCCTAATTTATATCTTAAAATTGATCACCCTGCTGTCTAGCTGTTGATTTAGTTTTGCATATATTTATTATATCATGTGTGTTTGTGTCAGTTATTTTAAGTTGGAAGATTCTTGGTGCTTGAAGCGGATAGAGGTTAAGTAACATGTCTGTGCTCCCGTGGAAAAGTCTGGCGGAGCTGGAAATTTATCCTGATTCTTTTAAATCCTCAGCTAGCAGCCTCGCCACTTACACTACAGTTCCTTTCAGATAAAGGCACCCCCAAACAGTTTTAAGCTGCTTTTAACCCCTGTGACATGCTATAAGAAACCAAGAAGCTTTTGGCTTCCTTAAACTTGCTGTTGTTTGCTGGCAGCGTGTAGCGAGGGCCCGTGCAGGTGGTGTCCTGCTCCCGCTTCCAGGAGCGTGTCTCTCCCTCATAAGCCTCTAAGATTAAATAGCGGTTGCACCTAGCACTCAGAAACTTAACATCTGACTCGATTGCCAAGATTGCCCGCTTATTCTCCACTGCAAGAAAAAAAATCAAGAATAATTTTTCCATCTTAATGCTTATACTAATGAAGATTTCGTGAATTCGGAGCTATCTTGGTTGCAGAGAAATTTGTTTACTTATCTTGTTAAATGTGTTCCTTGTTTCCTGAATTGATCTCTACCCTCTGTCACTGCAGCTGTTTCGAAAAAGGACGTGCCACTTCTCACTTAGTAAGTTGTACAGTGCTGGGGAGGAGAAAAGTGATGTAGTTCCACATTAAAGCAAATGTTGTTCATGTGAGGTTATTCTGTACAGTCTTTAAAACTGTTATGGGAAATGATATGTTTATGAAGAGTGTAAGATTTGCACTTTAAAAAATAAAATTACCCCTCCCCCCCCACTTCTAATATCCATTTTGTACAAATGGTCGTGATGAGTTTGGTTGCTTAAGGCTACGTGGGGTGTGCTCGGTCAGCCTGACTGCTGGCTAGCCAATTGGAGTGGTACCCCTTGAGCAGAGCGCGGACCCACAGCGTGTGACAAGGATTCGACCTGACAGGTTTACAGTCGTCCAACACACAGGCTTAGAGCAACAGCAAGGGGCTGCCTGGGGGGGGGGGGGGACCTGTGCTGTTCCTGCTGCCGCGCTGTACAAACCTGTAGTGCTCTCAGCAAGAAAAACTGCAAAGCTATTTTCTCTCTCCCTCTTTCTCTCTCATGTTACTTCAAGCTTTTCGGAGGTGAAAGCCCTCTCTCTGTTTACTTTGTAAGACAAACGAATCACATTTTTGTGTGTGAGGAAATTTATTAACTTACCACAATTGGCAGTTGCTTGATTTGTCTATGGTAGGTTAATTTGTGTTTAAAACAAAGATTCTTACGTTTTAGGCAGACTACTTTCTGGTGGTCTGTGAAGACTGGTAAAGCAGGGGCATTCTCTTGTTTTCAGCTGCTCAGTGCTTTTAGTGCAATTTGATTGCTTTTTGTGTATAATCAGTGATTTCTCCAGGGATGTGGTCTTCTGAAATACCTGAGCTCATCAACACTAAGATACAAATTACATCACAAAAATATTTGAGAGGTCTTAACTTTAAATGTTAAACCTGCTGCACACGACAAAAGATGGATGTTTTTTAAACAGGGATGCCAAGCAGATTTTCTTGGATGGTCACTCTTGAAGATTGATCTATATATATATTTTTTTCCCACATAACTGCTTTCCACATTCTCTAAATGCCAGAAGGTAAAAATTCAAACATAGTGAATATAATTGAGTTGAGATGGGGGAGTGGATAGAAGTAAAGTACGCTATATTAAAATATGAAATAAGCCAAACACATGGCTAAACAACCCTCCTAAGAAGTGGATTTTTCACTTTTTTGGTAAATTATTTTTATCAAGGTGGAACATAGGGACAGACTCCGAGAATCTCTGACTGCTTTGATAGCAGGCCTTGGAATTTGTGCATTATTGATACCAACTCAATAGAAAGAAGGTCTTTGCTTGATGTTGGGGGTATTTCTATGCGTTTATTAATTAGCAGAAAATAGTTTTTGTCCTTGTTTACCTGTAAGCAAAGGTATGATTGTTTTTGTTTTCATAGTGGTCAGAATTCAGATAGTCTACTGCATTTCTTACTGCCTGTGTTCTGCTTTAGTCTTGCATTATTTTATTCTAAAAATGTCAGGAATTATAACCTAGAGGCTTTTAGTTATAGCTTGTAGCTTGCGTGCCTCTTTGTCATGTAATAATGAAAGCTCATCTGAAGTCATTTGTTATTTTCAAAGTTGTCCAGGCATACACACATACATACATATAAAATTTCCCTTGCGAGGATAGAGAAAACTAAATTTGAAGTTGTTTGTGTATCCCCCTTAAAGCAGAATTTACCTGGTCTGTTGCAGCTAGCCAGTCTTTAAACCTCATGCTGTTACAGAAGCAGTGACATGCAACTCACATTTCACCTTTGTTCCTGTTCGTACTGGAGCTCTTGCAGTGTGCTAGTACATTTATCAGCAGTTCCAGATTTCTTCAGATATTTTGTGAAGGCTGAATGTTTTTGACCTGGTTTCTTGGTGTTAGTTACAAAGCAGCACTCTGTGTTGTCTTGTCCTGCACAAAGATATGAATTTGGGCTTGGATTCTTCCTGGCTAACTTCAGGCGTTTAGCTGCAATGTCTAAATTCAGAGCTGGAACAGCCAGCCCTCACTGATCAATTGGGAGATTAAGTTACCAAGCACAGGAGTTTCTCTGTTACCGTTGATTAGCAGAGGAGCTAAGGAGAATTACGCTCCTGATGTGGCAGCCTCAGTTAAGTGCTTGGATTTAGTAGGCTGGATCCAGACCTTAAAGTGGAAGGAGCTGAGAAGTCAGGAAGAGACAGGAAGGTGAGATATTTAACAGCCCTATCTGCCTCAGGGGCTTGACCCTGCTAGAATAAATAGTGCATTTAAAACGCGCACATATTGCTAGTGTGTTTCAGAGCTGTCATATGGATAGGTAAAACTGTGTTGTTTTCCGCTGGAGGTGAGGAGACCATGGGTGGCTGAACTTTCCCTTGTAGCAGCCCCTCTGGCTGCTGTGGATTATTGCTGCAGCAAAGGCAGCTACGCCTGGTCTTCAGCTGTGGAACTGCCTTCCCTTTCCAACGGGGGAGGAAATGAGTTGGTGTCGGATCTGTCTTGCCTGCCCCGTCCCTTTAGCCATGGCAGCCTCTGGAGGGGGAAGGAGAATTGAGGGATGCAGCTAAGCATCCAGAAGGGGGTAGGGAGCAATTAGGAGGAGGAATGTGAGAGACTAGAAGAGAAAGCAAGAGAATACCCGAATAACAGATAAGGGAAAGGAATGAGCTGGATCTGAAAGGAAATTGCTGTGGGGAATGTGTGTGTGTGTATATATATATATATCTTAAAAAACGGCATTAATGGAATGCTTTTAACAGCTGCAAATGCCGATGAAATCATGTCTGAGTTTGTTTTTTAGTTTAACATAAAAAAAAATCTGCCTTTTGTGTGGAAGGAACAGCCTATTCAAGCAACTTTTTAGTAGTACATTATTGCTGCTAAAAAGCTTTTAAAATGCACTTTCTAGTTGCCACTGGGTGAGTTGAAATCAAAGGGTCTTTTGCATATAATTTACCTGTGCTGGTAGAGCACCGAATGGCAGATGAAAGGGAGAGGACTGGAAAAAAGCGAGAATAAATTGAGACTAGGAATCTGAAATCCCTTGGGAAAAACTTTGTGCTCGCCTGAGAGTTAGGTGATGCGTTGCTGGGAGCAATGGTGGGAGAGATCAAGAGATCCAGTGTTCTTCCAGGACAGAAACTCATGAACTAGCCCATGCTTGTAAGAGTCTGGGCCCTAGCCCAAAAGAAGCCGGTATGTCTGCTTTTGAGTTTAGCTCTATAGACCTTCAGTAGCTTTAGCTAAAGAACATTGAGTGGGTTCCAGGAGCTCTTGTTCATCTTAATTTGACGCTGCTTTGACAAGGAGAACTTGAATCCAAGAAAAGGTCCAAGGAGCTATTGCCACCATAGTTTTCCATGCTTTCCCTTTGGTTTTCTCTCCTCCTTAATAAAGTACCTCTTAAATCTGAGATTGGGTTGTTGTTTTTCACTAGCTCGAGCCTTGTCCTATTCACAGTTGAAACGTTTTTGAAAGCGGTCAGCTGGTTGAAGAGACAAGTTCTGACCGACTCAGCAGTTTCTTCGCAGGGGTTTAAATGCAAACTCTCCAAAATAAATGAAGTCCTTCCTGTTATTCGTTTTTGAACTGTTTGCCTCTTGTCTGACTGGTCACCTGTTGCTAACCTGGTGGCCTCAAAAATCAGCTGTGAGGGATTTAATTGTGCAGCTCAGCCTGTGATTTTGGCCTGTTTCATGAAAGCAGCAGGCACAGCCATCCATGGACTGCTCCTGTAAGAGATGCAGACTGGTATATAGCTTGCTGCTGGAGTTGTTTGTATTGAGGGATGTAGCAAGGTGTACAAAGGATTTTTGTGAGCACTGATGTGGGAGGAGGTGCCAACAGAAGTATCGCAGAGAGTTGCTGGCTGGCACAAACAGCAGAGTGGTGAAAGGAGATTAATGATCTGTCTGTCTGTGCTAGTAACTTGTAAAACACTGTTAAGTTTCTGTGGTATTTAGATTTTGTTGCTTTTTTACTTCCACTCCGAAGGGATGAGCGTAAAGGAGACCTATTGAAAAAGGTTAAGTTTTGTGGTGACACTTAGCTGATTGAAAGTGGGCCTTTCAATATTTCTGCCTGGTGATTGCATACAGAAACACATGTGTGTGCGTCCTGTGAGCCTGACACAGGCAGTGTGTGGCCTATTGTACCTGTGCTGCAAAGAGGGGTTTTGTGTGTCGAAATCTGCCATGTTTGGGTCTAGAGGGGTCTGCGGGCTAAAACCTTCCCTTTCTGCTTCTGAACACAGAGGGGGTTCACGTATCGTTTAACAGGCTAGGTGTTAATAGGCACCACCCTAATTCAATGCCTGAAGCATCTCTCTCTTTCTGGCTCAGAGGTGGAAGATACGGTTATATGCATGTCCTCTGTAATTGCCACAAAATAATGTGAAGAGACACAGAAGGCAAAGGAAGAAGAGACAAAAATGGGTTTGTTTTAAACGCAGCAGTGCCCACCTTGCCCTAGTCTGTGTGTAATTGGAAAACCAAGTTGTGTAGATGGGGCTGAGAGTCGTGCTCAGTGTTAGTGCTTTGCTTGGATAGTTCCTCAGGAGAGGAGCAGAGGGAGGTATTTAAGTTTTCCTAGTTAGATTTTTAGTAGGAATATATGATAGACTGTGCGTTGCATCCTTCTGGTTACCTGCAGTAGTAATAGTGTTACTTTTCTCTCAAGATGATGGCGTTCCCAGTGGATATGTTGAATGGCTACAGTCATGAGGACTTGGAGAGCTCTGCAGAGGACTACATGTCTGACCTTCGGTGTGGGGATCCAAATCGTCCTGAGTTCTTGTCCTTGCCAGACCATAACAAAGTAAGAACCAGCAAATACCTTG